TGTGCCCAGTCTGTCCTCAGACGTGGGGCCCATCAAGGGAGGGTTGGTGCTATCTCAGGCCATCCTGAGATGGCATGGGCAACTTGATGAATCAAAAGGTGCCCAGAAGTACGTTACAGAAATCCATGCCTGGAGCTGTGCTGCTCAGAAAAGAGCGGTGGCAAAGCATGTGGGTGCTTACAATGCTGTATCCATCATCTGGGAACAGCACCTGAAACATCACAGTCTGCCTGTCTCTCTGTCGGCAAAGGAGCAGCAAAGTGACAACATTTAGGCGGCGGGTTGCCAGGTTTTCTCCCTTTACCAGTCAGCAACCCACAGACCCCATCTTCCTGCGGTTTCTCTTTCAGGCACTCGTGCACAGATGTGTTGGCAGGGACAGCCCAGGACCCTGCAAGGTCTCCTTCCTCTCCGCAGGGTTGGGAGCCCTCATCTGCGGCTGTTCCATTGTCAGCAGACCCCTGTTGCACCACACAAGCCATGAAGCAATGCCTCCATGTCCTCATCTAAACTTGGAAGAATCTGTCCTTGGAAAACCTCTGGAGGGCCATTTCAGGCTGCAATGTAATGATTCTCCCTGTTTCACACTTGCCTAATTGATCTCATCCTGCTTAATATGGGTCCGTTTGATTGAAGATAATGCTGTTGATCATCAAGGTGTTATGTGGAACAAGCATCCTGGCAAAGTCTACTCTGTTAATGCAGTTATGCCTGTCATTCAAAGCCATGATCAAAGAAAGAAGCACTTTGGGCAAGATATATTTTCCAGAGCACCACAGCTTTAATGGTGCTATTATACCTTGCTTACTTACACAAGTTCTTGAGCAGAGGCACTTGAACTGGACCTGGACACTGAGGCCCCTCTTGGAGGAAGCTGAACCAGGCAGCATCAGCTACTGAGAGCTTACTTCATCCTGGATGGTGTGGACAAAGGGCACATTCAACCCTGCCAACCATATCCGGCTCAAAAAACCTGACTCTTGAAGCCCCTAAAGGAGTCCTCAAACAGGGAGCACAGTCTTCATGATGAAAAAATGTATTTGACTATGTGAAACAGTGCCACCTGGTGAACTTCCCCCAAACAACCTAAAATACATCTCCATTTTAAAAATCTTTCCTGTTCCTCCTTCTTTTCAGCTATTCTCTCCAAGAATTTGAAGTGCCCTTGCTGGGAAAAGAAAGAAATATATTTCAGGTGGCACTTTTACTCCTATTGCTGCAGTCTACTCCAGTCTTCTTATAAGGCAGACTACACATAAAGTGGGAAAGAGAATAAAAAAGTAGAAGATGAAAAGAAATGTGCCTCTCTCACTTACAGTTCTTTTCCTAGAAGGTCACAGTTGCAGCTGACAGCACAGACTCTATTAGCTATTCTAGGAACTTTAGCTCCTAGTCCTGGTAAAATGTTTGGCTCTCCTTCACCCTATTTCAGCCTTTGAAGAAAAACTTTCCATTACTAATATCAAGATATCAAGTGGCTTTGTTTTTCTACCCACAGTTGTTATACCAAATTCTTGTAAAGAGCAAGTATCTGTGTCTTGGAAGGAAAGCATATAAGCAAGTATATCAGGATGGAACCAGGTTATCTAAAGAAGAAATGAGTATTTTGCATAGATATAACAAGACTTTTTTTTTTTCTCCCTTCCTCCTTTCCTTCCTTTCTTTTTCTAGGCCACAAAGGGTATAAGAATAACGAGACAAAAGGGGTATTATAAACTCCTTGAGGATCTGATAGAAAAGGTTGATCATAAATAATGAGTTATTCAATAAGTTATTTTGTGCTTTATTCCACTGTAATTATCAACTTTGAAATCAAAGACTTTAATGTTTTAATTAACCTTGATTTCATCCTTTAGTCTCTTCAGCATTTATCCTGCATTTAACTTAATCTAAAAAAGTGAATACTTTTCAGAAAGGAAAATCCTAATGAAGTAATGCCCACATCAAATTCTGAGGGTTTTTATGTCCTAAGATAATTTTGAAACTTTCAGTGTTGGTCTTTCTTTTCAGCTATCTGAGTGATTTCTTCTTCCCCACAAAGCCAAATACTTAAGTCCATGACATCTTCCTCTTCCCCATTCTAGCCTCTGTCCAGGAGAGACAGTGTCTACCAGTGTTCCCTCTAATAAGAAGTATGCGGAGGACAGCCTGCAATTTCAAATAAATCCAGATTGTTATAATCAGAACTGCACAGTTCTCTTTTTCCAACTTGCTTTTAAGGAAAGAGAGTGACTGAAATCATGCTAATTCCAAGCAGTGAAAGAGGTTGGTATGCTAGATGACTCAAGTAATGTGCATGGTTATTCAGAAACAAAGACATAATGCTTTGTTAGAGTTATTGATCTGAGGAGCTTGGCTCTTGTTATTGCACCCTTATTAACACCAAAGTTAAATGATTGGGAGAAATTTGTGAAGATACTTATTTTCAGGCCTTTTCTGGGTAAAATAATTTGGAAAGAGAATAAAAAAAAAATCCCCTGTTTTAGATTAAAAGAAAGAAAACTGCGTCTCAGGGTATCTTTCTAAATCTAAATAATGTAGCCCTGATGTATAATTAAAAACATCTTCTTTTGATAAACATGACTTTACTACAGCTCTGATAAAGCAAGATCTGTACCTGTGGGAAATGATTCCATTGAGGGGCTACTTCCAGGAGCAGTGTTACAGTTGACCTCTGGCAATGTTATAGGAAAGCATACAAGAAAATTTGTCTCTTATTTTTTGAGGTGTAAAACAGATAAAGAATGCTAATATCATTAAAATGGGAAAAACTTTCTGTATATGTCCTCTGCCTCAACCTTGTCTAGAGCTCATTCCCACCTGTGACACTTGAAAAGCAGTCACGAAGAAGTGTTTATGAAAATCTTCAACTAGTTTAAATGTAAGAAATTATTTTTCACCATACTCTTGCCCTTTGTTGCCTTAATCTTTCTTCTAATGCAAAATTTATCAGATTTGGGATTTTGTTGATCTCTGCAGAATATTATCTGTAACATTTTTATTTCTCTAGTAAGCTCATGCGTTTATTCTGGGTGTTTATTTTCATATCTACAGTAAGCTTTACAAGGCATATATTTTTTCCTGTTCCTGCTGACTGTAAAGAATATCTTATTTTTTTAATATGGTAGCTTTATAAATATCTGAAGTGCTATAACAATGTGATTTTCCAGAACAATAGAAATAGTAATAATTTGTCATATCTTTCTTACAATAATGTAGCTATCCAATGGGTGACTTCTTTGAGAAGGAAGGGAAAGGAGGGAGAGATTAAGCATCTTAGACACTGTTTATTATAAAATTCTCAAAAGGCATAGGTTTCTATTTAAAAGCTCTATCTTTATTAAAAAGGAACAGAGTGCATGTCTGTAGCATTAAGGTGACTGCATTTTGAAATCCACAATAACATTATGATACTTTGTGCTGATATATTTAGGGTTATGAAGAGGTCACAAAAAAAAAAAAAGAGAAGGAAAAAAAAAGCATATTTTAAAATGTCACTGCTCCTGGCTTGTGACTCAACAGTGTGTGAATCTGTGGAATTGGATTACTGTTTACATTATTTTACTCCCTGCTAGAAAAGGAATATTGCAAACTTGAAACTCTACTGATGTATCCATGTTAATTGATGCTTCTACTATGAGCTTATGAAAAAGATGTAATGAAAATCTTAAGCAGATGTCATTGAAACTTATTTACTGTAAAATTCCTCCTTACAGTTATATATTTTAATAAAGGCGCATTTCCATGCATTGTATTGTAATCAAATCAATGTACATCTCTATAGAGTTCAGAAGTCTCTCTCTGATGTGAGAAACAAGTTGACAATGAACAAAAGAGAAGTAAGGATAATTTCAATATTCACCTGATTTAGCTCTTCACATTGAAGATGACTCAGTGTTCACTCCACCAGTTTACTTGTACCTGTTTAAAAAAAAATTTAAAGTCCAGCTAACTTACAAATATGTTTAGAACCAAAAACCTGGCAACACATGCCCTGGTTATCCCATAGAGACTGTCCATTAAAGTTTGGAATTCTATTATAGCTCTTATCTCCACACTATTTTAATACCATTGTACAATAATATTTATCCTTGTAGCTTCACAGTGAGGCAGGGAAGCCATATTGTGTTTTATGGTCATTAAGTGGCAGGAATATTAAAAAACTAATCCATAAAAGGATCTTTCTGTCTATTGACAACTGATATTACCATGCTGTATCCCCATGAACAAAACTTATCACCAACACAAGGTACTATCTGACCAAAAGAATGCACAATAAATGCATAAATGATCCTCAAATTCTCTCCTAATCATTGCACCCATAAACTTGAGTCAGAACAGTTGTGATTTGTTTTGGTTTTATTTTTCTCAACAGTTTTCAAATATGGCAATACAATTTGATGCAAAAAAAATTATCTTTGAGGAAATAATTTTATGTTTTGGGAGGATTTGCCTACTTTCCGAACAGCTTACATGTCGCTATGCACTTTTTTTCACAGTTCATTGCCAGACAGCATGTCAGCTTGCCATGAAATTAGGACATAGCAGTCTCCTGTTCACCACACACTTTGGCAATGCTGCCATAGACACAGAGCTTCTAAGCTCCCTAGCAACTAGGAAAATCATCTTGTAGCTGCCACAAAGTCATTGTTCTCAAGTTCCCTGGATCCTAACACTTTTAATGTGGATATTTAGTGGGAACTGAACGCTACTGAAATTAATTCTCTCAGCAATTAAATTCAATGTAAACGTTCTGGTCTGGGATTTTGGATTTTTTATTTCCACTAAAAGTATAAACTGTATTGTATAAGTGAAATCAATTCCTCCTATAAAGGGAATTAATTATAATATCCAGTCATTGGAAGATCCAAGAAAATTCAGATGTTCTGGCATGTTGGTATTTTCAGCTCTGAATTAGAAGATGAAAAACCTCTTTTATATAAAACATTTATTTAGTAGTAGTACATAAAATATATCACCCCAAACCTCTTACAATTTAGGATGTGCATGCTGTGCATCTTGAGATGGAGAGCAATGGAATGCTTTCACAGGAGTGAAGAAAAGGGCTTAAAAGAACGCTAATAGTATCAAGCAAGACATCAGCAGCACAAGGACAGGTTGAGATCCAACAACTCATTCTGATTTCTTAATGTTGTTGGAGCAACAGGTAGCTATTACACCTTGATGGGCTGAGATGAAAACACTACATCTTGCATATTAAGATAGAGAGAGGTGGGAGTATGTTTTTTTTTTTCCTGTCTTTGGTAGGCATCCAAAAGCGTCAGCAGTGATTTCATCAAGTATCCAGCACTTTACAAAAAAAAAAACAAAGAAAAAACCACAAAACAACAAACCCTCAAAGAGTATTCACATGAACCAACTGGTAAAACAATGATAAACGATCTAGTGAGTGATGTGTATTAAAAAATAATTTTTAAATGAAAGAAAAAGAAACCCCAAACTGTGTGAAAAGCCATCTGTATTTCCTCAAGCTTTCTCTGTGTGGCATGCTGCTTATTGTTTATTATTTCCCAGGCCCAACTGTACTGGGACGAGAAGTACAAACGCTAAAATACTATAGCTGAAACCTACTGGAAAGCAGAACATACAGAAATGTCATAATAAAATTCTCATTGTTCTCATGAGATGCTCAGTCATGTTCTGCAGAAAAGGAATAAGAACAGCTGTGATATGTTTATATTTTAAGATAATAAAAAACAATGAAGTCATTACCAAGCATACACTAAGTCATCCCTCACTCTTTTTTATACCACCATTGTTCTGCTGTGAAGCCTATTTCAGCCAAGATTCAGGATAACTTTCTCTTTTGTAGTAGCAGGATCATTTCCTCAAATAACCCAAGAAGCATATATGCAAGATGTGTAAATCCATCTGCTCTGAGGGTAAAACCCACAAATTTTATTTTTGCCTAAGAACTGAAGTAGTTAGAAGAGTAAATCATCTAGCAGATATATTGTTACTAATCAATGAATGGGAGTTAAATTTTACTACATTCTTTTAATCATTAGGTTTCACTACTATTCTCACATGGGCTTCACAATTATCAACTTCAGTTTCTAGTATTAGAGATCGAAAACTGTCTGAGATGGGTTTCAGAAAAGAAAAAGAAAAATGGAAACAAGTGGAATAAAAAAACCCAAAGCCAAACCCAAACACCACTCCCCCCCCAAAAAAAAAAGAACAAACACAAAAAAAAAAACAAACAACAAACCACCCTAAGCATAGCTGGATTGCCCTCCAAAAAAGCAATCACAAAGGTGTGCACTGCTATAAGAGCATCCCAGGAAATAAACTGTTCTTCAGAGACTTACCCTAGGCAAGGAATGATCAGAAGCATCCCAAAAGATATGTCAGAACTCATTAAGCAGGAGGCTCATAAATACCAACAGATTATTCTAACCATAAAGTTACAATACTAAAACCAAATTATTTCTATGGGCTTTGAAATCAGGTATTAATAGCATCTATCCAGATCCTCAAAAGGTGTAAACCAGTGTAGCTCCATTGGCTTCCAACACAGAAAGACACTGATCTGCTTGAAAGAATCTCCCTTTAGGGAGCTGTTTCCAAGTTGTGAGATTTGTATCCAATTCTTTGTTTTTATTCTTTCATGTTCCTCTGTACATTCATCAAATTTTACACAGAACCAAATTAAACCCTTTGAGAATGAGTTCCATGCAGAAACAATTTAAAAGACCAGAAATGTCAATTAAAATAATGTAAAACATTCATAAATTGAAAACAAAACTACCATTATTGGCCAACTAGCAATTTATTGGCCATAAATTAGACAACGTAGAATTAAACCACCAAGGGTTTAAGTTAAAAAACTCAAAGCAAACAAGTAGTTCAATGAAACTGTAGAACTGGAACTAATGAAGCCTGTCCTCTGATTTGTGTCCTGTGGTAGGATGTTTTTTGAGTCAAGAAAGTGTGAGCACAAACTGAAGCTTTTTTCTGCAGTACACTTAAGATCTATTTTCTGTAAGAATTTGCTGAAATATCTAATAACAGGAGCTTCTTGTTTTTTTCTTTTACCTGAGGCATTTTAATCAAGTGTATACCAAGTACTCATTTTTATTAATGTGTAAGAGTTAGCTGTCCCTGGAAAGTCTCTACTTCTGTCAGTCTAGAGGGCTCATCAAATGTGCAAAAATGGGATAATTCTTTAGATGTTTTTTTTTCCCAGGAAATCAACCCTCTGATCCTAAATTTCTGTGGAATTGTGTGAAAATACAAAGAACTATTATCATCTATATATTCTTAGAGAAGCTATATCTTTTATACTTTTACCTTCTTATACCTGTTAATCAAAAAGGATATTATTCACATCTGGATATTTTCTGAATTTTGCATTTCAGTGTGTGTTATTTAATAAACAAAACAAAGCAAAACTCTGCACTTACACTGTATCAGGTTGTAACAATCCAGATTACAGACTAGGAGTATTTACTGATTCCTGTGAGAATCATAGAATGGTTTGGGTTGGAAGGGATCTTCAAAGGTCATCTAGTCCACCCCCTCTGTAATGAACAAGGATATCTTCAACTAGATCAGGTTGACCAGAACCGCACCCAGCATGGCCCTGAATGTCTCCAGGGATGGCACATCCACCACCTCTCCCGGCAACATGTTCAGATGGTTTACCATCCTCATTGTAAAAAATTTTTCCTCATGTCCAGCCTGAATCACCCCTCTTTTAGTTTAAAACCATCACCCCTTGTCCTGTCACAACAGGCCCTGCTAAGAAGTCTCTCCTCATCTTTCTGAAAGGTACCTTTTAAGAACTGAAAGCCACAGTAAGATCTCCTAAGAGTCTTATCTTCAGAATCTTGCAGTATATGTTCAGCCCACATCTACCTTTGGTATGTTACTACTCACACATCAAAGCTCCCTCTCAGTTCACTAGATCTTGAAGTCTGAGCATGTAACTGCTCTATAAGAATTTTTTTGATTGAATATAATCTTGTCAGCAAATTCTGGTTAAAACCTGGGTTTTATACTTCATCAAAAAGCATGAAAATAGCGTTGAACTATCATGCACTCATATCACTTTGGCTGTTAATTTCCAAAATATTCATGCACTTATTGTACATGACAGCTGGATCAATTTGTTAGTTTATGTATGTCATTAATTATTCATTTCTAATTAATTATACTGAAGATTTTGCTTCTTGTAGTGCTGCTCATTATATAAACTGACCATCTTACAGTTACTTGACTGATGCAAAATCCCAAATGAACACGGTTAATACATGCCACTAATAAGATGGGTACACCTCAGCTGAAAGGAAGAACACTTTGATAGGTGCAGTGTGTTGGCTGGTAATAAGTCTCTGATGAATCTGCTCTATTATTCACTTTCTGAAGGTGCCTATGTGAGCTTTAAATGCTTAAATAGTACTTGTGATCTTCACTGAAAAAATACAGCCATTTCAAAAATAAGTTACTGTTTTTTTAGTAATCCTTGTAGCTCAAGTATTACACCAGCTTGGTAGTTGCCCTGAACATGTATCTATTCATATAGATCAGAAATTATCTAAAGCTATTACTAATCTAGGAATTATAGACAATACTACAATAGTTATTAGCAAATATTCATTATTCTGTGGTCACTTGAGTATATTCAAAAGCATTTCTATCATTAAATAAAATAATATACTCTCGAGTTGATATGACTTTTTCCAAAGGAGAAAATGGAGATAGAGAGCAAGTAGACATATTACATAATTAAAACTACTAAATTCCTCTGTACATCAGCTGAAGGCTTTAAGCACACTGCAAGCAAATTAGAAGAGGATTATCTCAATGCAGAATAGTGAAGATTTACCAGTACAGGAGCACACCAGTCCTTCAGAAAAGACTACATGTGAAATGGCAAAAAGTTCTGCTGCCTAATATGCACAATGACAATACAAGTGAATTGACAAAGAAGTGTTTCTTACTTTGCTTTCATATGATGATTAAGCAAAAAAGACATTTAACACAATTCTTCACAAGGAAGAGAACAGGTTGTGTTTGGTGGTTTTCCCTATTTTGTGGGTTGCCCTTACAAGGCTTTTCTGGAGTCCTAGGTGGGAGCCCACTAGCAGACATCTCTTAATCCAGTGCTGTGAAGTGCCAAGATGCAAGTGAGTTGGATCTTCAGGAAATTCAGACCCAAGACTCACAGTTGTTAGGGTTTTTTCCTTATCCTTCCACATCATTCCCCAGCAATACATTATGAATAGAAACCCAAGAACATAAATGCAAATCGAAGTAGCAGAATGTCGGTAGGAATAAAGTAAATCTCTTTACCTGCCCCTTCACAGCCCTCCAAAAAAGCAAAAACACCCCTCTTTAATTTCCATAACTTGAAAATATTTTTAATACTTTTACAACTCACTGAATGGTGGGTTCATAAGTGCTTTATCCTCCCATTAAATTGTTAATTTACTTAGAGTGGTTTTGATAACACATCATTGGATATTGTGTCTTTTCCTTTGTGCATGTATCCTGAAACTTACCTTGCAATCAACGCTTCCAATTAAAAGATGATTGCAGAGCATTGTACTTCTATCATATGAACTTTACATCTGCGAAAAACAAGTTTCTGCTCTCCCTGAAAGATACAGATTCTTGTTAGAGGCTTCCTATTCTTCCTAGGGATAAAAATCTCCTATTTTATTAACCTCAGTGGATGTTTTCATAATCCAAAGATCTTGTGTTAACCTTATCAAAATTGGTTGTCAATAAGGGGTTGAAGAAAATACTGTGTTGCAATTTAGGTTGGCACCCCCCCCAACTCCTACCTCAGATATGCCCCTTGAGAACCCCAAAACACCCCTTGTCTGCAGCCCCTGCCAAATACCGTCACAATATTCCCAATGACTGTTTCCTCCAATTATCTGAATACGTCTCTATAGAAAAAAAAGTCTATTTAAAAAGAATTAATACTTCACCTTTACTTTTTATAACTAAGGCAATGACTGCATTGTTTTTTTAAGTGAGTAAAGTATGATATTTATATGTGTGTTTATAACTAAGGCAATGACTGCATTTTTTTTTAAGTGAGTAAAGTATGATATTTATATGTGTGTTTAGAAACAACGTTTTTCATTTTGTCTA